AATTTATTCAAGTACAGTAGCTACTTGCTTTAAAACATTTTTGTTTGTGAAGTTAAAAAATTTCATTAAAATAACCAACATTTTAAAAATATTTCCTTAATCCATCTAATTTTAAAGAAATATTTCATAAACCTATAAATTATTCAGAATCCTTGATGCCTATAATAAATACAATTTAACATTAAACTGAATTTTAATACTTATAATATTCACTGTATTTGAGTACCCACTTTTCATGCCTTTATTTATTTATGGTCGGCCAGTCTGATGCTTATTAAATAGTTTTGCATTCGAAATTTATTTCGGTCGAAAATCTTCTTTTCTGGGGGCAATAATTTTTGGCTTTTGGCTCACGTTCACACACACACTCACTTCACAGGCATTTGACTTTTAAAAGTCGAGTGCGTTTCTATTTCATTTTATGGGTATAAATATTGCAGGCACTTTCTCTGGCATTTCGGACTTTTAATTGAGGCAAATATCATTTAAGAGCATAAAGAAGGAATAGGAGTTTTGTTTCGCAAATTAGACGATAAATTCAAACCGACTTTGGACTTAAATGTATTCAAATAATTGAATGGAATATTAAGTGCTGCAGCAAGTCAAGAGCAGCTTGAAATCTAGCGAATTTCCGAGGAGATCTCACGGATGTGGTAGGGTAAGCTGAGGCAGGGCGGGGAAAATTCTGTGGAAATGACAGGGCGTGTCAAGTCCTGCCAAACAAAACGCACACATGCGTGGGGGCCCCACCCATTTTCGTACTTCATGCTGCTTAAACTTCAGCAAAATGTTCTGTCATTTTGACAACATTTTCCCGAACGAAAGACAAAAACCCGGCGAGGAAAACTATCGTCATGAAGCCAAGTATTAAGCGACGTGAGCGTTGGCGAACAAAAAAGCGACGGAAAAATGGTGAAAACCGAGGAAAACTAACATAACTGCGGAGTGAAATGTGCTTGAGCAATAATAGATTCCCACACACACCCAGAACTGGGTTTGCGTTTGTGTTTGTGTTTCTGGCAAAGTGCAGATCAAATGCAGTTAACTAGCTTGTTGACATCTTCACACACAATTTGCTGACAAACACAAACAAACAGATTCAAGCTCTTCCAGGGCTCTGTTTCTTATCCTCCTGCCTTTGTTTCACTGGCGTTTTCTTTGAGTCAGGACTTTGGCGCAAAAAGTTTGCATTCAGAGCGCTTTCACCTGCTTTCTTGCAAAACCCCCAAAAATACACGTAACTTGGCGAAATAATGATAGGTAAAATCTAAAAGCATTGAAAAAAATTAAAAATAAAAATAGGTCTTTATCTAACTAAACTAAAAAGAAGTATGAATGTATAAGCTAAAATTTATAAACCGGTTTGATTTTATTTTGTTTTTTAAAAGAAATTTTAAATTAAAAGTATATGCAAAACTTTAAAAAACTTTAGTTTTCATAATAGAATTATACATATAGAAACATCCATTATTTTCCCTATTTTTCTTTGGTGTACCTACACAATTTTATACGACTGCATACGTATATATTTAAATAAATGTGCGAGAATGCGGTGCACGAATGTATTTTTCATAAGTTAAATAAAATGAAGAAAAACAATGTTGTTGGCCAAAAGGATTGCCATTGCTGTGCGATTGCTACGTGCGTTCGCAACAAATTGCAGCATAAACACTCGGGCAACCCTGCCCTCCACCACCCTCCGCCCATCGAGCACCCTGAAAAGGGGGCGTGTCCCTCAATGGGGGCACTCATGCAAAAGTAAACGATTTTTAAATGCAATTCCACAAATGGCTCGGCCAACACTCTCCGTCTGGCATTGTCGCAAGCAAGTTGTCAAAATATATTATATGGCCAGGTTAAAATTTTATGCCCAGCCAAAGATGAAATTTTTAAAAGCATTTTGATTTGCCAAGAACGCACCTGGGGGCCAGGATTCATAAAATGTCCCATGGAAAATTCATGGCGGCCCTTAAAAAAAACGCAATCGGAAAATATTTGTGTCTAGTAAGCGCTTGGGAGTCTGCCTCACATTTCAGCAGAGACATTCAATCTCATCCCGGGATTGCTGAGGATTACGAAGCCCAGCTGGTCCGGAAGTTAGCCAAGTCCAGTGCTTGACCCCTGCAGAAAAGTCCTGGAAACTGTTGCTGCATGCCGCATGGCAGACAGACTCACAGACATTCGCTTCACATTCGCATAGTTTTGCGGCCTGCATGCCAAAAAGGTGCTCGCTCCCAGGACCTTCGGCAGGAAAAAGATAGCTGCACGCATTCCCATGCCATAGATGGCACATAACCACTGCAAGAAAATGTTTGTTATTATCACAAAAAAGGTTAAGAAAAATAAAATAAATAAAAGTCATAAAGGTTGTGAAATTCAAAAGCTTTTCATTAAACGAAAATAATTAATTAGTAAAATGCAAAATATTATAAATTCTCTAAAGTTTTATTTTTTGTAGTTAGATTAAAACGTTTCCTCTTTCTAATATTTCAGTGTAAGGGAGTGTCGCTTAAGTGACTGCCCCCATTTCATTTCCATTGCAAACGCGTGTGGGTCATTGCGGTTCAAGCGGCCAAATAAAATTTCTTTACAACTCACTTAAGGTTCTTGTTTAGTATTCAAAGCTCTGCATTGGGGAAAAGACTTTTCGATTGCAGTGCATCTCCCCAGTCACCTACAAGTATTTTCTTTCGCTTTTCCTCCGCTTTTCACACACTCGGCTTGAAAATCTCAGCCTTCGATTATGGTACGTTGCATACTTCGGCGAACAGGCATGCACAAAATGTCAAAAATATGCCATGGGCCAGTTCGTGTGCCTGTATCTCAAGCCATGTGGGGGTGTTTCTCTGTCTGCATCCGTATGCTATATATGTAGGATGAATCTGCGAAATTGCCTACTGAAACTCATTTTTTGCGTTCTCCGCACAGACGAGAGAGTCAGTCAATGATACAAACAACAGACGGCAAATGGGGAAAATAACAGGAAAAAGAGTCGTAGCCAAAAGCCAAAGCAATGCAATAAACGTAATTACAATTGAAACGTCCCTGGATGAGAGAGTTGGTTACTGGACTGGACCCAACGCAATAACAACAACATGTTTGTCAACTGGCATACATTGGAATTTATCAATAATTCCCATACAGACAGCTCCGGACTCCGTTCCTTTGGCAATTACACACACGAACTGGTCCTGGACTCGGACTCGGACTCCTTTGAGTCCTTTTTTTCCAGAGCATCCAATACAATGTCCAACGAACGTGTTCATATCCATACCCGACCGTATTTCATTGGATGGCCCGCAGTTATGGCCCCTTCAATGAATCTGTATTCATTTCGATACATAAATTTAAATATTTCTTTAAATAAAGTGAATATCTTAATATTAAATATTAAAAGAAATATTAAATTATTCAGAAACCACTTAGTAGTAATACCTAACGTTCTGTTCAAAAATATAACATTTTAATAGGTATTTAACAGTCGTCACCCCCCATTTTATTTCCACATCTTGTTTACAAATTTATTTAGAGTAGGTACTCATATTGCAGAAGCATGCAATTGTGTGATAAATATTTGGTTGTAATTTGTGCAATATGTTATAAATAATGGTCAGCTCGAAGCACTTACTCTGGGTTTTGCTGTGAAACATATTCATTGGAGGTTTGTCAAACTATTAATTTGGATTTAAATGTGTGTTTTCCATGACTAAACAAGAATGCAATCCTTAATGTTAAGAACAATTTTTTATTTTATTTGGCACACCTCTGTAAGTTCTTCAAAGTTGAGCTGTATTTTTGTTAGCCTGCTGCATTGGTTTAGGAAATTCAATTAAAATTGCTGAGAATGCTGGCAATTGTTTGGCGGGATTAGAGAGATCAAGATTGAAGGAATTCCAAGCGAAGTTCTATGGCTTTAAACACCTCCTTTGGTCTTTTAAACTCAATAACTTGGTTCGAAAATCGCATTCGCCTGAGGAGCACTTCCAGCTTGGATTTCGGAAGCGCTGTTCTTTTGGTTTATATTTGGTTTGGGGGTTTCTTTAAAGTAAATGCATGCACTTAGAGAAAAAAATGTTTCACCCATAAAAAAAGGTATTCTACAAATTATGATAAAATAAAAATAATAAATAAATAATTAAAATAATAATTTGTAAATCAGATACAAAAAGTTCTGACAAAACAAAAAAAAAGCCTTAGGTACTTAAAATTTTCTCCAGTGCCTTTAAGATTGGTCCTGGCAGTTGATGTTGCTGTTGCGATTGCTGCCACTGCCAGCTTTTCGCCTGCGGCAGCTGACAGGCAAAGGTGGCCAGAAATGCAGCCAGCCACCGCAAACACCCACGGGCAACATGGCCAAGTTTTCGATGGGCGAAAGGGGCGAACAGGCCTACAATGCCGGCCGAGTGAAAACAAGCGTGAACAGATCCCGCCCACAACAAAAAACAGGATGCTGCCGTGCATCCTGCGCCTTTGGCGGTTGCCTTGCTGCACTGCCTGAAACTGAAACTGCGACTGCCACTCGAATTTTGAATTACGGCCAGGATGGGCTGGCCGCGTGTTTAGATCCACTTCCCGGCTGCCTTTGAAAGTTTTATGCTCCCACCATCCGCCATTTCGCCATCCCCGGCGACTTTGCAACTGTACATAAATTTAATTTCATTTTATGAGGAGGCCCAGCTACATCTTTCAGAACTTGCAACACACGCACACACAAAAGGACACTAAGATTCACTATAAAATCTACGGAGAAAAACGTTTTGAAATATTAGTTTGGAACTCAATTTATTTATTTGTATAAATTTATAATTTATAGTAGTCTAAAAGTAAAATGTAAATTTAAAGTTTACTTAAAAAAAATACTTTTAAAGTGTTTAACTTCTTACACTTTATTTTTAAATCAATATTAAGCTTTACAAAATATATTTCACATCAATTGATTTTTTCCCGTGTATGCACCACTAATGCAATTTTATTTCCCGCTCTGCCATTTTTCATTGCAGCTAGCCCTTGGCCATTTTGCAGAGTTTTCTTTCTGGGCGGCGCTTTTCGGGGAAACTGTTTCGGTGAGTTAAGTATGAATTATGTTGTTTTAGCGCGTCGCTTCTGAGTTTGAAAACTTATTGAAATATGCGACGGCCGTAGAAGAGGAAACTTGTGTGTGTCCTTTCGGGCTTAATTGAAAGTTCGGGCACACTCGAGCAATATGGCAATATGGTGGCAGTGCCAAAGTTTTGCCCGGCTGTAAATTAGCGACAGCTGTTGGCCAAAAGGTAACCGAATTTTGCAGGGCAGCCGTTCAATTGAATTTACACATTCACCTTTAGTGCAGCCACAAAATGTTTGTCAATCAGATTTGCGGTGCGGGGACGGAAGTCTGCGGCTGACATTTGGAAACCCGAAAATCACGCTCACCATCAGTCACATGGAAAAGTTGCATCTTCATCTTGAGAACTTTTCACGCACAACAAATTTTGCTAGTGGAAAACAAGTCGGAATAGAGGAAGTGCAGAGCAAAAATCTAACGAACGCCAGAAATCTTTTGCAGCTGCTCATAAAAATGTCAGAAAATGTCCCCCCATCCCACCATCCTCTGGAGTTGCAGTTGCCTTTGTGAGCAATTTGTTATTCGATTTTTATTTGGCCATGCAAAACTTGAACAGTGGAAACTTTACTTAACTCCGCCTGTAGAGAAGGAGAAATAGAAGATGTGGAAGTGACTTGGCTGGCACCACGGAAATGGCTTGAAATTGTCAGCTGCGCAATGATGCACATTAAGTGTCAAGTCCCAAAAGTTGTTGACAACAACAAGACCGAAGGATTGAGCTTGCCTCTAGTGACATATCGTGTCATTCGCCCCGAAAACTCACTCACTCATATTTATTTATTTATTTATTCTCTCCGCTACTTTCCCCATTCGATTTTTGGCGATTTCCAAACGTGCTGCTTTGTGTAAACAAAATTCCAGAAAGCCAAAAAAATACCACGCCCTCTTGTTGTTAAGGCTTCGGCACAACAATGAAGGAACGAGGGCACGATGTCGCCAATCTGGATATTTATTTACGTTTCGAAATCCATTTAGAATTCCACGGAGTTTTACGTGCTGCACTCCAAAGTGATGGAAGTTTGACAAAAATGCAGTATATTTTTATTACTGCCTCGCAACTCGAGTTGCATTTGGATTATATGTTTGCAGTGCAAATACGGCAAACGGTTTTCATTTGAAAGTCATGCATTTTCATCAATAATGCAAAAAAGATGTGACAGCAAGTGAAAATCACTTTTCTCCCTGGCACAAACATGAGTTTTCCACTCCTTCCAAGTTCATTCAATTGGAAAAGTTGTAAAATCAACAAGTCATTGGCAAACAGCCGCCCAGACGACAGCGCAAAAAACATTGCTGTTAAAATATTTTGCTTATTTGCATACAAAAATACACACAGTGCAGTGAGAAAGAGATAAAGCGAAGGGAGGAGAAATGGAAAACATACATTCAGAGAAATGTTACTTTACCTTTAGACACTTTTACCTTTACAAGGTATTTTAAGCTCTTAAATGTTCCAGAGACTTGCAATAATAGTATAGCTCAAATAACTCGACTTCGTGATTAAAAGAAAAATGGTTGCATACTCTTAGACTCCTTTTAATTGGATTTAAAAACTCTAGTTAGCTTTTGGCATCATTTTATGATTTTAAATCTATATTTTATAAGTTAAAATTATTTAAATTTGTACTATTATTTTTACTATACTGTACTATTTTTCCCCGTGCTGACAAGTTCCGTGGGTAAGCAAACAGTTGTTGCCGGGACTGGGAAATGGCTCCGGGTGGACTGGGCGCCGGAATGCAGAACGGACGGACAGGCAGTCAGTCAGGTGGCTGATGCTGCTCAAGTGCTTGAAAGAGTTGCCATGGCTGCCAGCAGTGCAGAAATAACTATATTTAGAACCGGAAACGGAACCGAGCGCATCCATATGTGTGGATGCGTGCGAAGCAGCTGCAGCTTTTCTGGCAATTGAAACTGCCGGGATTGTGTTTGCTATTGAACGTAAAGCGTGTAGGAGGGCAGCTGAAGAGGATCGAATGTTTCGTATCCGGTAAGGATATTCCCGGCGAATGCCAACATCAAATGAGCCGAGCAGAGTCAAGCATATTTCTCAGGGAAATCTTTGGTCACATTGAAGCCGAACGCTTTGTTAATTCAATTTCCCGGCCAGAGCTTAGCAATTTCAAACTAACTAAGCTCGGTATTGAAATCGCTGAGCCACTTTGTGGCATAGAGCTTTGTTTTGATAAATTTAATCATGACAATAGCAAACACGATTTGCCCAAAGCCTATTCTGTGTAAAAAATATCTTGTTTTTCAATTCAGGATATAAAAAAATATTCAGCGTATATATCAGGTCATGAGCCCCAAAAATTATACGCAATAATTTAGTTACCTAACAAAAAAACCTTTTTTTAACTTTTAAAAGCCCAAAGTGGAATCGGCTAAAATGTCAACTAACTTTTTGCAAATGTCAGGCGGCAGGACGGCGAACATTTTTGCAATTCTTGTGCAAATGATGCCCTCCGGAAGAGCAGGACACATGGCTCACGGCGTACATATAACAGACCTGGCGCGGATTCGGGGGAAAATGGGGAAACGGATGCCTCCGAAAATGGGACCCAGCCTCGTGTATCCGCAGAATCAATGTTAAGCTTGTAACGTGCAAAAGTTAATGCCCAGCCTGGCCGAAAGCGCAGCAAAAACTGACCACACGGGGCCAACCAGAAGCACAGCTAAAAAGCCAAAGCGGAAAATGGCCCCAAAACAACAACACGCTGCTAAATAAAAGCAACAGAAAAATAAATGCCCAACAAAACAAAACAAAACCAACCGCGAAAATAATCAACGAGACGTAAAAATGCTGCCATATTTAATAGGAAATTGTGTGTGTGCAAGAGAAACAATGAAACTAAAAATTATAAATGCAAAAACGATGCTCAAAACTCCATGAAAACCGAATGAAAATCGAAAAACCAAACATCGCATGAATAGATATTGCTGCTATATATATGTACGTATGTGGAATATGTATATGAATGACAGACTGCAGCGTACAAGGGCTTCAAAAAGAGCAGCTATCGTGTACAATTTTTGGCTACACCACTTGACTGCCATTGTTTTTGGCCGCCATTGTTGCATTTCTGTTGTCATTTTTAAGCCAATTTCCGTTCATTTTGACGCTTCCGCTGCGCTTTCCTACACCAAAAATATATATTCTTTAAACGATGGTTTGGTTTTGCTTCGGTGGTCCTGCAATTCCGCTAGGGTTACAGCAAATAAAATTACTTTAAACTGCAGATATAAATCGGATAATTTTCTTCAAAATAAATAGTTTGTTATTTGTGAAAGCCCAAAAGAAAATTCACGTCCGATTGCAACGGAATGTTAAGGCAAATCTAATCAAATTGTCTATACATTGCAATGACAGTCGGAAAAATGATAAACATTTGGCCAGAGCAATAAAACACTCGATTGGATTACTTAATTTTATTGCAAGTAATCGAGCTGGGAAAGCCAGTGACTTCAAATGGAAATTATTTTTCTCTTTCTGATTTCCGTTGGTCGATTATGAAAACTAATTTACCCAACAGAAAAATAATCGAAATTCTAAAATTCAACATTAAAAAAAGTTTATAAAATTGATTGCACATGGCTTTCTTGTCTGTAATGTGAATGGAAAATAACAAATAACCCAACGGCACATATTTATGTGCCGATATATATGCATGACAGACAAATATACACACATCAAGTTTATTTTACCCAATTGCACTTTATAAAATCTAACAAAATTCAAACAGCAAAACAGGAGGGCTGGAGAACGGCGAGTTATTATTTATGGAAAAGCCGCCTGCATGAGTAAGCAGAAAGCCGCAGAGAACCAGATTTAATTGTTCGTTTCTGATTCGTAAGGGAGTGCGAGCATTGAAGTTAAAATAAATGAAATAAAATCGTAAGCAGGGTAAAAATATTTTTAAATGTCTGCATCAAATAATTGAAGTATAAGATTTAATTCTGGCGTTTATTACTTTTAAGAATATTCCGATTTAATTGCACGTGGAAGAAATATTTTATTTTAATTTTGAATTTCTTTTGATTTAATTTATATCTATCAAGAAATATTAAATTCTTTTTCAGACCACCATAAAGTGCTTAATTATGAAGAGTCTTTAATTAACAGGATGGTTGTAGTTTTTCTCTATGTACCTCAAAAAAAGGTCCTTCGTGTCATCGGATCCATATACAACTGTGCCAACCGCCACAAGCGAGGGAGGTGCACTGTTGTAGGCCCAAATATAGGGAGTATTTGTTAATATTTTCTCCCGATAGCCGATGACAGTTGCCGGACAATGTCAACAAGGCCAGCGAATTGCATAGGTCGCTGAAAATGGCAATATGTGCGGCCCATTCAGCCGGGGGCTTTGGATGGGGGAACGATATGGCACACAGTTGTCACGCTGTTTGCCGGATAACCGTTATTATATCCTACTCGGGCTATGTGTTTGCACGGCCCCGTTTGGACTTCGATCCATTTGACATTATGACAACGCATCACCGGGCAGAGTTGGCAAACTTTCGCCCACGCATCGGTCAGCAATTTAATTCCCCGAATTCTACCCAGAACCGAGGTCGTGGCGTTACTCATCACCTTTGGCCGGTCATTGCGACTTTTTAATAAGCTCGATTTGGTGCGTTTTAATTAAAAATTGTGCCAGAAACTGGGGCGTATTTACACGAAGGAAAATTTTTGTAAAATTGTTAACGTTCCTGGGTGTAACATTATTTCTTATTTAAACATCTAAACATCTAAACATTCCAAAAAATATTCATTAAAAATAGTTTCCAAATATAATTATATTTTTTAATACAACTTAGTTAGTTAATTAGCTTTAAAAAATGAAAAAAAAAAATTAAACTTTAAAACCAAATCCTAGTTTCTTCAAGTACCTACCGAGTGCAGTCCTGCAGAATGTTTACCAACATTGCCCCCTGGCTAACTGTTTGCCAGTGGAGCATTAAAGAAATTTTATTATTGCGCCAGATGGACGGCGATCCAAAACCTATAGTTGTGTCCAATGTTTGTATTTCCCACATATATGCATATGAAAGCTTTATTATTCCAGTTTTGGCGGAAAGTTTCGTGGCTCCATTAAAACTGAAAGAGAAACATCTGCTCTTAAAGGGCAAAGAATTTTAATAATACACAATGAGATGCAGTTTGAAGGATGTTTTATTGGAAAAAATAGCATCGTAAAAGGGGAGGCGAAAAATAAAAACAGTTTTGTGTGGCGAAAGGTGCAAAAAGTTTATTAATTTTCACAGCCAACGGATATGGTTGCCTACTTATGCGCGCACGAACAAGACAAATAGGGGGTGGTCGAGAAGCAACCCCCAGCACACATGTTGAGCAAATATTATTGCCTTGTATTTCATTTTTATGTTGACTTTTGTCTCAGTTCCTAGCCCCTCAGCCCACCGAAAAAAAACGTTTATTTGGCGTGTTGCTGCAACACAAATAATTGTCGAACAGCATGTTGCATGCGTGTGTCGCTGTGGTTATTTACGATTGTCGTAAGAAACTTAGATAAATATTAAGTATACGCAACATTGTCACGTCAGAAACTAATGAAAAATGGCTCAAGGCCTGGCGATGAACGGTTCACAATTTATGCTGATGGAAAACTTTAAACGATAAACCATCGATAAAAACCAAACGCTGTTAGTTTTCCGGAAAATTCAAACGGCAACAGCTGTGCGAACATGGCAGACTCAATGCATATATTGTGCTACCCATATATGTGCACTGAAAAAAAATGTTATCCCTCTTGATATTCATTTTTTTATTATATCAGCTTTTAAAGTAATCAATCGTTTTTATTCGAAAATATTATCTTTACCAAGTTTTCCGCTATTTAAATTTATTTTCTGATTAATAGTAAAAGGTAGCATTTCTTTCCCTGCATATATATTCGCCTATCTATGTCTCTATGCCATCCACTAAAAGTTAGCTGCTGAATAGAAAAAAAAGGGAACCGCCGTTCAGGAAAACTCGCTGATGCTCCTGCTGCTTTCGCCTGGCAGTGTCCATGTGCGCGTAAAGTCCATTAACATGAAAGGCAAACAAACAGGCAGCCAGGCCAGCGCACACTTTTGGACACTTCATAAACAAGCGGGCACGAAAAAATGGCTCAAAACAAAGCAAGCCCTCGAAAAAGCGAAATTCCAGCTGCAGTTTCGCTGGCGAAAAACTATCCAAGGAAAACGCAAACATTTTGAGCCAGAATTTTGAGGAGGGAATTCGATATTTTGCCGCAACGCAAAACCCAAAAACCAAACTAGAATTATATTAATTGAAGCATACCGAACAGGAAAATGTAGTTTAAGAAAATACCTCTTCTGGATTTGATTATTAATTGCGATGGCAGGCTATATGGAATGCGAGCCGAGCAAACAATTTCCAATGCAAACCACTTGATTAAACGGAACATGTAATTTAACGTTGAGAACTCATCAGTGAATTTCCTCTTATTTCAGGTGTCGGATATTGAAGAACTCCCAAGGTTGCAGGCCAAAAAGGTAAGAGAGCCGGGGCTAATTGAAGGGGAGCTGGGGGCAACTGGCAAATATCAGGAATCCGGACAATTATTGTAGGCCAGCATTGGTTAGGTCACGCCTTTAAGCCAATCAACTAAATCAACAATACGCATACGCCATGTGTGCCAAATATACACACTAACACACACAGGCATAGGCCCACACAAACACGCTGACCCGACACGAAAATTCAAGGCTTAAAATCTAACCAAATAAAGGGATTGTGATTGTGAGGGCAGCAGACTGACAATTATTATGGGAAATCTTTTTTGGGGTCTGGGGAAGCGTTTCATTGAATACAATGGCATTAACAACAATAACAAAGATGCGATGCGCACACAATCGAGCAAATATTTAGTGAAGGGAAATAATTTCTAATAGGTTTTCCTTCCAATTGAAATCGGATATTATGTCTGGATGAGGGTTCGTGTGTGTGTGTATAAGTGGCTGATTGTGTTTACGCAATGTTTGGCAGCATTACACACAGCTCCATGCAAATATTTGCGCTTCCTTTGGTTTTGGGCCACAACTTTTTAATTAAATATATATATAAGCAGTTCAGCTTCTAAGCGATAGCTTAATAAGAAAGAGTTTATTGTTTTTCCATTTAATATAGCTCAGCCTTCAGCTTCAAGACCTAATCATTAGTTATGCAAAGCACACATTAGCCCAAACTAATTTCCAATGGCGCAAAGTAAACGGAGACCAAGAATTAAGCCAACAACCGATGTTAAAGTTTTTCCGGGCCACTGCGAAATTAAGCTGTTGTCCCGAAGAAGAAAAAAAAGATGAAGGAAAATGATTGTGAGCAAATATTCCGGGCTGCACGAAGTTTCTTCTTCAGCTTCAAGGAACTCTGCTATATGCACACACACACATGTGTGTTTATTTCACACCTGAAGTGTGATGAAAATATGACAACAGAACACAGAAGCACATCCCACCTGCAGACAGGTGCCGAGTGAAAATTCTCCTGCTCTCTCGGCATCTTGAACGTGTGACTGTGGGGCATTCGTGCTTGAAGAGTTTTCCTTAGCTCTCTGCAAACAAACATAACTTGAAGCTCTAGCACACTGCCTTCCAGTTTTTTTCGATTGCACTTTCAAAAACATCAGCATGGAAGAAATGTCCAAGAATATGCTATTTTTTCTGTTACGGAAATCATAAGAGAAACTGGGTTTGCATATGGTTATAGGTAAAGGTCGATTTTTAAAACTGCTTGATACGAAATTGTATGCTATTTTTTAAAATATTTTATTTGTCATCTATTAAAGTCAATCTTTAATCCTAGTCTCAGCTTTCAATAAATATGATCACATATTTCTGTTGTAATTTTAAATTTAAAAGTTATCGAAAAAAGCATATGAATGTTTTGCTTTTTCCAAGTGTAGAATCCTTGGTTTTTGCCCAACATCAAAATCATCATTGTCGTTTGTTGATATCGATATTGTTTTCTTTCATCACCAACACTTTGATTGAAAATGCAAATCGCAAATAGTTGGCAAATATGAACAATCAGTTCGCCGTTTCCTTCGTCACTCTTCGTCCTTGTTCAATAGTTAGCAGCCCTCTAATCCCTTTCCATTTCCTGACACTCGAATAAACTTTGCCCCTTCATCGTGATAATCAACTTAATCGACAGCATTCCATTGCAGACATCCCAAAATCTGACAAGTCACCAAAGTTTACCCAACCCTCAGCCATCATATTATATTATTTTTCCCCCTACTTATGAGCATTTGCCTGATCATCCAATATGAACTATACACACGTGCAATAAAGCAAAAATGTTCATTTAATGTTGTATGAGGGCAAATATTTTTATGGCCTTGACAAATCAGTTTTCCTGGTATTTTTTATAATAAGCAGCATGACAAAACGCCAAACTCACCCACACAAAAGTCAATTGATTGGGGAGCTGCCGAAATTCCTTGGGGGCAGAGGGCGTAGCTCGATGGCAAAAAATAGAAGCCGTGCAAAATTCATTCATACATGGCCCGGATTGATTTGGGAAACGACAAAAAGCACCGCAGCCAGTCAGCACTATATATAGATATATGTAAATACAGTTGTGGTAAAACTAATAGAAACGACCTAATTAGATACTCAACATTTTTTACTTAACATTTATATCACGTTTATTTTTATTTATTTTTTTTATATATATATTATTTTTTTAATATCAATGGTTCATATTTAAGGTAAACGACATTAAAATGTGTCTGCCGCAGACATGTCTAAAGATTTCGGAAAGTTTAAATGCAATTTTGTTGTGTTTCTTAATACCAATATAAATGTGGAAGAAATTTCTTAAATCGGACCATTCGTTAAAAAGTTATGAGCAAATAAAGGAATTCAAGCAGTACACGGAGTCGCTTTGCTGCATACAAATCTCCATCTCCCTCGCACTTCGTTTAGCTGAGTACTATTATTTCGCCGCTGACTGTATAAAGTCCCTGGATATATTTCAAACACACTCACGGGCCGGCAAAGAAAAGAGCAAATTTCGGTTGCCTTTTGTGAGTTGGTTTTCCTGTTGCGACAACGACACGGCATTTATAAAAATCATACGCCCCGTTGTACCAGCAGCACACGGCAAAAATGGTGGCAGGACAAAGGCAAAAGCAAAGGCAAACGGCAATATATTCGTATCGCTTGTCAGCCAACATGTTCGCGAACGATTTCCGCATACGTAATGTCGATTTTGACAAAAACTGTCACCTTCTTCTTGAGCCACCGGATGGTGGCTCATAAAAACATTGGCTCCTGGGATGTGGAAGCGTTCGATGTTCAATGTTCGAAACGCCAAATCAGAATGAATCCCCATCATTAACAGGCCTAATCCACTTACCGGCGGTGCGTTGAAGTGTGAAGGATCCGCCCAGTTAAGCAAATCACTTGGCCATTGTCTGGGTGGCTTCCACTTTGCCAACTTGTGCCGCTGATTTGGCCATAAACGAAGGCGGCAGGTGTGGCTTAATTTTAAGAATTAAAACTCAATTTGTAAGCAACGTTTAAGGGGGAAAAGTTGGCTAAAATATTATTGATTAGGCCTGAAGTTTTGATTAGTTCTAAAATTACTTATTAAAATGGTGGTTTTTTAATTTTTGCACTCAAATGGGATTTACATGTAATTTCCCTTATAAATTCAACAATGGAGTTGGCAAAAGCCTGTAGGCTGTAACTAGGGATAAGTACAAAGCTGCTAATTGTTGACTTAAGTTGTATTTCCCAAAATTCTGATGAAATCATTAAAAACCAAAGCTACTGATTTTATTGATCAGTTTTCCCGGTTTCGTATTTACTATTTCCTGTGTTCTTGGAAAAAATATAAGGTGGTTTGACCAAGTTTAACGAGATATTGAGTTGTTAGCCAAAAGGCAAAATAAAGATAAAAGCCAGCTCCGATGGCGTGAAAGACTACCATTCAATTTGGCGGAAGCTCCTCCATCCGAAAAATACCTGCTCCAAGTTGTAAGAAGTTGTCATTCGGCAACGCTTACACCTGCGAACACATAAAACGCACGTCAAATGCGACAGGAAAACTTCAGGACGACAATTGAGGGGGCGTGTGTGTGAGTGTGTGGGGCGTGTTCTTGGACAAGTCCTTCAATTGCTGTCGGAAAAAACTTTGCCCAATTTAAAAGGGAAAAAAGAAAGCCAAGTGTGCGAAAGGCAGAATCAGATGTGCACAGTGAACTAAAATGCAATTAAACAAGGTGTTTGATCGACAGGGAATTAAAGGAAGTTTATAATTTTCAAAAGGGAAAAATATTATAATAAAGATAGATTGGAGATTAAATCAAAGTTGCTTAAAAATTCAAGCGTTTAAAACTCCTTTATTCCCAAAAAGAGGCCATGATTTTATTCCCAGTGTAGGCCCCGAAAGAGATCAGGTATTAGTCACGCCTTGACAGATTCCGGCCAAGTTGGAGTGTCTTTGGGCAATCGCTCCCTCGTCACTTGGCAACGATTTCGAGACTGAGACTGTCAATCAGCGCCTTCTTTTTCGGTTGCTTCTTGTCGTATTTTTAAGGCAAAACCAAAAAACAAGGCAAACAAACCAACTAATTGGTTGAAATGCAGAGCAGAGCGGCAAGGCAAATTTTTTGGGGGTACCAAAAAGTTTCACGCTTATTACACCAAGAGCAAAACAAAGCCAAGTGGTGCGCAAAAAAAAAGCAAAAATGGTGTTGAGAAATTCATGATTCATTAGGAAAGTCAGACCAGCGCAAGTGGGTAACTTTTCAGCCACGTCTATTGCACCCACCGGCAGTTGCCTTGGCTAATTTAAATTCTTTTGGCGCCGCCAAAGACGCATCCACCACACCACCGACGGCGGCGGTGTCCTATTGGGAGTAGTCGGGCATGACAGCTCCTTAAGCGCCTGAGTGATTGACATCAAAAAGGTCTAGAGCGGCAGGAGCAGATAATATAATGAACGCTCATGCACAGGGAGAAAAACCGACTGAAAACAATGTTTAATAGAGCATAAACCGAAGCACATTTTTGTGGTTAAGTAATGTATATTTAACATTTACTATATAGTCGATCTTAAAACTTAGCCATGAGGAGTATGTACTTAATTAAATAAATTAATGGTTAATATATGAGTTATAATATTAAAAAACACAAAATTACATTATTAAATAAAAAAAGGAATCTTGCTGATAACAATAATATTTATTACCAATAAACACATAAACACATTTTGTGATACATCTCTTGATATTTTCCCGCAGTGTACATACATATGTACGCCTGTATTTGGGTTATATAATTAAAATTGCGCATCATTAGGAATTTGTAAATTTTCCTAAACTTGTTGCCAAAGTTTAAACAGCCAATGCTGGCAGATTGAATGAGAGGGCAGTTTTTCCAAGCGGTTTTTCGAGATGTCCGCACTTGAAAATCCCTCAAAAGGAAGTTTCCTAAGCCCACTAATGATATACAAAAGTAAAGCCGCCTAGAGATGAGATGGG